AAAACGCTGCCTCAGGTGTACATTTTCCAGGCCTGGGCCCAGGGTTGGGGCAGACAGGGAATCCTAGCTGCTGATCTGAGCAGCCCTGATCTGACCTCTGACCTCTGCAAAGCCCCCCCTGACTAGTGGCCAACAGGACCTGGGTCACTGAGCCTGGCTCTCAAAGGTTCCTGACTTGTCAGGGGTCACAGGCTCCTAACATGACAGAAGAAGGGTGATGGCATAGGCCTGCGTATTCAGACCAACCACCTGACCGCACTATCTTCCTCCTGAGGGAACCGCCCCTCAACTCTGCTGGTTCAGTCCTGCCTGGCCCACCCATCCTGGACTCTGACTTTCTGTGAAGACATGAAGTCTTATGCTCTGGGGTCAAGTGGGTTTACTTATTTACTGTCACGGGGCTTTGAAATCTGCCCAAGGAATCTTGCATCAAAACAAGAAAACCTCAGGGCCCCTGGGTGGCTTAGTTGGTTAAGCGTCCAACTTTGGCTCAGATCAAGACCTCATGGTTTGTGAGTCTGAGTCTCAAATGGGGCTCTTTGCTGTCCTTATGGATCCCTCTTTGGGGATCTGTCTCCCTCTCTCTCCGCCCCCTCTCAAAAATAAATAAACATTAAAAAAAAAGAAAAAGAAAAAACAAGAAACCTCTTGGTCAGACAAACCAGTAATCTGCTCCATGTCTCAGCTTCCTTATAGGTGAAAATAAATAAGGGATTAATAATGTCTCATTTTATGGTGATGTTGTACAGATAACAAAAGTATGCAAGCAAGCGTTTTCAAGATCAAGAAATATGTAAGGACAATGTGTGTCATTATTTGCTATTTCTACTGAAGGTAGAAGAGGCCATATATGATATACTTGTAAAAGTCTAACTTTAGGAACAAACAGGAATGAATTCTTGTTTTGCAACATACATGCTATTTTTGATGTTACAAAAATCTCTCTGAGGCTGTTTTCTCCTGTGTGAAATGTTAATTTGGAGGGTTGTTGTCAAAATTAATGGCTGCATGTATAAAGTTGTCTCTCCCAAGTACTTAGCACACAGTAGGTGCTCAATAAACATGGTAGCTGTCATTCCTGCTGTTAAACAGATAACGATGGCAACACAGATCCCAAGTACTAATTCCCAACTTTTTCCTCTCCTTTACTTCCTACCCTTTAAGTGATAAAAGCGCAAGCTCCTAGTCAGATCCCTGGAAAAGGAAGAAAACCATACCCTCTGACTCATACCACAGAAGTGACCAATTCCTCCGGATTTGACAGGACTCTCCTAGCTTTAGCCCAGCGGTCCCAAGTCCCAGGGACCCTCCAGGCAAACTGGGACAATGACTACTCGCCACCAACTCTGTCTGACTCTGAGCCATCTTCCGGTACCTAGGCTTAGAGTATTAGGATTTGTACTGGAACTCCGGAAGGATCCAGGAATACTACCAGCTCAGAGAGTCAGTTTAAGTCCTTTTAGAACAAGGCAGGGTCTAGAAAAATAAATGAAAATTAAAAATTAGCTCCGGCCCTAGAAGTCATCATGGTAGGTGTAAGATACAAAAATTAATTCTGAAGACCATATATTATGTAATACCATTTATATGAAATGTCTGGAATAGGCAAATCTATGGATAAAGAACGTAGTTTATTGGGGTGCCTCGGTGTCTCAGTCAGTTAAGCGTCCGACTTTGGCTCAGGTCGTGATCTCATGGTTCATGGTTTTGAGCCCCACGTTGGGCTCTGTGCTGACAGCTCAGAGCCTGGAGCCTGCTTCCGATTCTGTGTCTCCCTCTTTCTCTGCCCCTCCCCTGCTCACACTCTGTCTCTGTCTCTCCACAATAAATACATGTTAAAAAAAAAAAAAAGAATGTAGCTTATTGGTTGCAGGGTGGGGGTGGGGAGTGAACTGCTAACGGGTATAGAGTTTCTTTTGGGGATCATGAAAATGTTGATTGTGGTAATGGTTGCACAACTCTGTAAATACACTAAAACCCAATGAATTATTTACTTTAAATATGTAATTATACAGGGGCGCCTGGGTGGCTCAGTCGGTTGGGTGTCTGATTTCAGCTCAGGTCATGGTCACACAGTTTGTGAGTTCCAGCCCCACATCGGGCTCTGTGCTGACAAGCTCAGAGCCTGGAGCCTGCTTCGGATTCCGTATCTCCCTCTCTCTCTGCCCCTCCCCTGCTTGTGCTCTGTCTCTCTCAAAAACAAATAAACATTAAAAAAAATTTTTTTAGTATATATATATATAATTATACATTTAAACTGTGAATTGTATGGTATGTGAACTTTATCTCAATAAAGCTGTTAAATTTTTAAAAACACAAATTTTTAAAACAATATTGTTTTAGATTTATTTTGAGAGAGAAAGAAAAAAAAGCATGTGGGGGAGGGGCAGAGAGAGAAGGAGAGAGAGAATCCCAAGCAGGCTCCACACCCAGCAATGAGCCTGATATGCAGGGCTGGATCTCACTAAGATGAGGTCAGTCATGACCTAAGCTGAAATCAAGAATCTGACATTTAAGGGACTGAGCCACCTAGGCGCCCCAAGACAATCTTTAACTTAAAAAAAGGGTTCTTCCACAATAGAATCTCTGAGTCTAAATTATTCTTTTTTTCCTAAGTCTATATGACTAAAAAAAAATTTTAGTGGGTAAGAGGGGGAGAGAGAGACAGAGAGAGAGAGAATCTTAAGCAGGCTTCATGCTCAGCACAGAGCCTGTAAATCTAAATTATTCTTAACCCTCGTTTTAAGAATGATCTTTTCAAAGGCATAAAAATATTTAACCTAGGCCATGAAATGCCACCCCAATGTTGCAGGTAACATGCAAGACCCACAGCAGAATGTCAAGAGGCTTTTGCTCTGTTCCGTAGGAGGCCAGGAGGCCAGTGGAGCCTCACACAGGAGGGGACATGGTGGGAGAGGAGAGGCTGGGGAGCCAGCATTCACGAAGGGAGAAAAGAGACTCACCTCTCATCCTGCAAAATAAAGCAGAAGGAAATGCATGCTAACCTGAGACTTGTCCAAGATATCATAGAATGGAAGAAGGACAGCTCTGGAAAAGAGGCAACGGTAAGCTGGAAGGACATTCCAGGCACAGGGAACAGTGCGGGCACAAGTTCTGAGATGTGAAAGTAGGCGGCATGTTAGAGGTACACAGGTGGTATGCAGGGTGTGTGGGACAATGGAGAGGACTCGGGCCAGATTTCGGAGAGCACTGGACCCAGTCCTTGCTTGGAAGTTTGATTTCATTCTGTGGACACTGGGAGGGTGGGGGGGAGGGACCTAGGGGAGGATTTTTAAGAAGTGACTTACAGATCTGCAGAGGGTCTCTGCAGCCATTTTACAGTGTGAGAGATGGTGCATGAAGTCACTGAGCTGGTTAGTGGCCAAAAGTCATGGGGTCTGACGCCTGGCCTGATCCATGTTCTGGTACACCAAGCTGCCTTTGTAGGTAATCTGCCCACCTTTTCTTCTCTCCATTTTCTTCTCTAATTCTTCCTCCACCCTTTCCCTTGTCCCCTTCCTGGGCCATGGGTGTGCCTGGGGTGTCCCTGCAGCCCACACAGGGTTGCTGAGCTCTGTTGCAGATCCAGGTCAAGCTAATACTTGCTTTTCAACCCCCTGGTGGTCTGGGTAGTGCAACCCCAGTAGAGAGGGAAAATGAGCAGGAAGCGAGGGATGCCCAGCAGGAAGGCAAGGAAGAAAGAAGACAGAGCAAGGACAGACATAATGGAAAAGGTAGCTACAGTCATAGGTTCTGTGGGGCCTAGAAGGGGAGGGTTCTCTTGGAGATGGGTGCCTGTGCATGGGGTGGGGAGGAACACTCTGCTTGTCTGGTTTGAGCTATCTCAAGGACTTGCCCTGTTAACTCACAGCACCTTCTCAGAGAACCTACTAGAACTAGGTTAGCTGAGAGGCCCTGTGGGGGAGTACCCTGTCCAAAGGGCATCTCCGAGAAAGGGCTTGCCTGACCCAAGCTGCAGCTGGAGCCTGAATTCTCAGGTAGGAGAGCCACAACATTTATTGAGCTTGCACCTCTAAACAGGCACTGCACAAGGCCCTGGGGCACAAAGACAAAAAGTCACCATCTCCATTATCAAAGGGCCACAAGCCCTGTAAACACAAACGGAGGACTTATCTCCCAGGGCTGCAGTGAGATCACCAGCAGATTGATGTAGTGTATACAGTGCACAAACTGTTGGCATAGTACGCGTTGGAGAGCCGCCGAAAGGGGCAAGGCTCAGGATGGGAAATAAAGTTAGGAATATGGCAGGGTCCTAGCCCCGACTCTGCCAATTCTTGCTCTTAATTACTATTTTCTCAGCCTTGAGATCCGTTGAGTGCTTTCAGTGTGCTGAGAAATCACTTCGGAATGCTTCTTAAAATAGAGCCCAGAGTCCGATCCTAGTTTTACTTAATCTGAATGCCTGGAGACTATCCCGAATCTGCATTTTTACAAGCACCGACTCCCCGCCCCGCCCCTCGGGACAATTTCGAGCTTCTTAATCTACGCTACACAGTCTGAGAAGTACCTCTGAATAGGGAGATGATGACCTGCATCAGCCCTAGGTCTGGCAATTGATTCAAGAGCTATGAAGGCGACATGCGTGGAAAGTGTCCTGTGAACCTGAGAGCAAATAATTCGCAAATAATAATAATCCAATAATCCTAATATCCAAAAAATCCACAAAATAATGGTCGTAAAAGAACTGGAGAGCGCACTGCAAACGCGGCGCAGGCCAGGTCGGTATCACGGCCTGGCCACTCAAGAGCATTAAGGCGTGACTGTCCCTTTAAGCAGTCCCCCGCGGCCCCCCTCCCCGGTCAAGGCTCCAGGCTTGTCTCCCGCGGGCGATGCGGCCCCGCCGGCGGCGCGTGCGTGCTGGCCGCGGTCGATCTGCTGGGCCTCCCAGCGGGGCGGTCCCGGCGGCGTGACGCCGGCGCTTGTTGCGTGCGCGCCTGACCCCGCCCCCTGCCCGCCCCTTCCCCTCCCCCCGCACTCAGCGGTCGTCCCCCGCCCGCGCGGTACAGCTGGGCCAGTGACGCGGGAGCTGCTGCCGCCGCCACTGCCGCCGCCGCCACCGCGTTCCATTCTCCTAAGCCGGCGACAGCGTCGCCCCCAGCCTCCTACTGCCTCCTCCCGCAGCGCGGGCCAGCGCCAGCCAGACAAGGCACGCAGGGCCTCGCCTAGACCCGAGAGGGTTGCGGGAGCGCGCAGGCGGCGGAGCGGATCCCGGCGCCGCGGAAGCTTCGAGCGCCCCCCTCGCGGAGGTCGCGGTGCCGTTCCCCGGGTGAGTTGTCACTGCGGCCCGGGGGCGGCGGGGCCAGGCATTGTGTCACTGGAGCGCCCCGCCGGCTGTCAGGGGCGCGGGGTCGGCGCGCACCGCCCGGGAGGGACGCCGGGGAGCCCAGGCTGGCCGCCGGGCGTCTGCTGCTCTGTGCACCGGCCCCGCTGTCAGCCGGACGGCCGCGCGAGGGGCCGGGAGGGCGACCGGGGAGGCTGACCGGGCGGCGGCGTGGGCTGCGCCGAGGCCGGCAGGAACAGCGGACTGCCGGTCTCCGGCTGCGACCTGGTGGCCGGGACCCGGGCGCGCCGCCTGGCCTCGCCGGGCGTGGGGGTCGCGCTCCCTGCCCGGGAGTCAGGGCGGAGACCACACTTGGCGGGTCGCGGGAGAGAAGGTAGGCGGAGGCCCCCTTTCTTACTGCTATTATTTCCCCCTCGGGCCGACCAAAGCCGCCGGTCCTGCGCCGGGCAGGGTTGGCTGGGCGACGGTGGATTTCCTGAGGAAATGTTGGAACCCGTGTGTGGGAGCGTCGGAGCCTTCTGGAGCCTCCGCGCCTCGTCTGGTCTTTAATCTCAAAAACTTCACTTATTATCCGGGCCGAGACTCCCCGAAACCACTTCCTGTTTATATATGTAGACTTTCTTTTTCACTCCAGGCTTTTAGGGACTCCAAATATTAGTGGAGGTCTGACTCCCCCGCAGGGTTTCGCTGTGGGGCCGCCGAATTGGAAAGTTACCTGTAACGAGATTAGCAGGGGGTGGGGTGGGACCGTCCGTCTCAGGAGGAAAGAGGAGTCAAAATCAAGGCTTTGGCTGGTTAGGGGGAAGTTCATGTCTTGGCCACGAGGCCTGATACTGCTGTTCCCACAGAATGTACTCTGTGGCCGGCGGCTCGCTGGGTTTTGTTGCTCTTGCTAACTGGGCTGGTGCGAGCACTGTACGGAGGTGCAGTAAAACTGCTCAGCTCAAGGCATTTACTCCCTTTCTAGATCTGCAGAAGTAGAGTAGGAAGTGTGGCTTTCCAGCCTTCGCAGAGGTAAATTCATTTCTTGCTCTTTTCATTCCTCTGGTTTAACATATACGTCTGAATGAATGATGCACATACCTTTTCTGTTTTGGGAATTCCACACCCAAATTGTCACCATCTAGTGGAGGCTAGTAGAGACATGTTCGTGGCATTGAGTTTTGAATTTTTGGGGCTTTGCGTTTTTAGCTAGATGCATATTCAACCAGAAATGAACATTTTCACAGTTGGTTGCGTGGAGGAGCGGAAGTAGGTCTACCCCCCCTGAGTAACAGAGGTATTTAATAAAACAATACCAGCAATAATGGGAACAGTTCTTGAGGACTGTGTGCTGAGCTTTGTACCAAGAGCTACTTTCTTGATCTCATTTTTTTTTTAATTTTTTTTTTAATGTTTTATTTATTTCTAGAAGAGAGACAGCATGAGTAGGGGAGGGTCAGAGAGAGAGGGAGTCACAGACTCTGAAACAGGCTCCAGACTCTGAGCTGGCAGTCAGCACAGAGCCCGATGTGGGGCCCGAACCCACGAACCGCGAGATCATGACCTAATCGAAAGTCGGACGCTCAACCAACTAAGCCACCCAGGCGCCCCTCTTGATCTCATTTAATAATAGACTTTTGTGGTAGGTATTGCTATTATTTTTTTAAATGCCTATTTATTTTTGAGAGAGAGAGAGGCAGAGCACAAGTATGGGAGGGGCACACAGGGAGACCCACAGAATCTGAGGCAGGCTCCAGGCTCTGAGCTGTCAGCACAGATCCCGACTTTGGGGCTCGAACTCATGAACCGTGAGATCATGACCCGAGCCGAAGTCGGACACTTAACTGACTAAGCCACTCAGGCGCCCCTAGATATTGTTATTATTTCCTTTTTTTTTTCTCAGTTGAAACCAAAGCCAAACAAATAACTTGCCCAGATTCATAAAAGTAGCTCATGGTAGAGCCCACACTTTAACTGCTAGATTATACTGTTAGCTTCTGATTTGCTTACCATTTGGTAAAATTGAAAATGGAGTACTTCTAGAACTTTTTCAGAGCACTACTTCTTTAGGCTCTTTGTCAGATCAGGAGCATCCTTAACTCTCCCAGGGACACATTTATGGTTTGTGCACAATAATCATTTGCTTATTCATCCTTCCGCTCAATATCCATGAGAATCCAGCCATGTCCTCCTGGAGTTCACGATCTTTGTGTATTTTGATTTATGTTGTTAATTTTCATTGGCGACCGTTTGCTGCTTAAGGAACTCCTGTCCTGTAAGTTAAGTTAGAGGACGCTCCTGGTCTGAAGCCTGTGGACTTCCTATCCGCAGAGTGACTTTTTGGATACTGTAGTAGACGTGGCATATGAAACAAATCCTCACCTATAGCTGAGCTGGGGGAGGGTGCAGGTCCCTGGGTGCTCAGAGTAGGGCTGTCCTCCCCGTCCCCCCGAAATGTTTAAACCCTGAGAGCAAACCCAGTGTCAGATGGCAGCATTCACCTTATTTGCTGAGGCCTGCCTTCTCAAAGCCCAGAATTCAGGCAACAGAAAGAAGCAGAAAGACAGAATGAGGTGGTAAAGATGCAGGCAGGCAGAGGAAGAGACCTCGCCACTTGCCTGGTTTCCTGGCGGGCCTCCCGACGTGTGGTGACTGAACTTGTGCTCTTATGTAATGGTGCGTCTCCTGGCAGGGGATTTCCTCCTTCACTGTTGCTGGGGCAGCAAGTTCTGCAGCCACCCTCCGGCTCCCTACACACATAGGCTCTTTCCGAAGGTAGTAGTTGACCTGGCTTCTTAAGAGTAAGAACTTATTTCAGTTTTATTGCTACTAAGCATGAGTTCTTTCCCTCCGTGCTTTTCCATCTCCCAGATAAAAACTTGCCTTATGCTTTAAATCTTTCCTGTGCTCTGTTTCCATGTCTTTAGCTGTGTTGACAACCAGGTAACTACGGCTACAGTTGACTTTTAGAGAACACGGGGTTAGGGGCACCGACCCCTATGCAGTCGAAAGTCTCTGTATAACTTTTGACCCCACAAACTTTGCTCAGAGCCTGCTGTTGACAGGAAGGCTTACTGATGGCATAAACTGTTGATGGGCGCCTGTCTGGTATGTTACACGTGTTACGTGGTGCATTAGTACAATAGCTGGGGAAAAACGTTATTAAGAAAATTACAAGAAAGAAAATACATTACGGTACTGTACCACACAAAATCTCTCTGGAAGTGGACCCACACAGTTCAAACCTGTGCTGTTCAAGGCTCCGCTGTACTGGTGTCTGTCTCTGGGCTTGGAGAATTACAGTATCTTTAAAAAAGTTAGAGTCACTTAATCTAACTTATTGCTGTCCTAAAACAGGTGCAGCTGTGAATCTTTAGCAGAACTGCTTGCGGATGGAGAAGGAAGACGGGGGGGGGGGGGGGGGGGGGGGCAGAAGTGCTGTTTTTCCCCTCTAGTTCATGTACCGAGTAGCACCCACCGGGAAGCCTGAATGTCCGCAGACCCACTGGTGGTGGTTGTGTAATTGCCATGCGGGAAGCATTTTACTGAGCTCCTGAAGTGACTTGTGGTCTCCCAGTTGAAGCTGACCAGTAGGATTCATTTTCCCTTTTCTGTCTTCTTGGACAGTTAGGGAAGTCTTGTTTCGGGGCATTCTCTTAAGCAGTAGGAGGAAGAAGAAATAGAGGAGAAAGAACAAATAATTGAAAGCAGACTTGAGTGTTGAGGATCAGGACTGTTTGGTTAAGGGTAAGCATTAGGACAAATACATATGTGGTAATAGACATTCTCACCTGGTTTCTCCTCCAGAGGGCTCCAGCCTAGGGGCTGCCCACATATCCCACTGTAGTGAGGGTTCGTTTAGTGGAATGGTTTTTAAAAAATTAATGTTCTTTTTAAAAATTTTTATTTATTTATTTTGAGGGAGAGAGTGCACGGGGAGTGGAGGGACAGAGAGAATTAGGAGCAGGTTCCACACTGTTGTCACGAAGCCTGACGACAGGCTCGCTCTCACGGATGCAAGCTCATGACCTGAGCCGAAATCAAGAGTCAGATGCTTAACCGACTGAGCCACCCAGGCGCCCCTAAAAAATTAATACTCTTAAGGCATGGTGCCACATTACAGGAAAGTTGGAAACTAGAGCAGTGAGAAATAATGGCTGCAGTGTGGGAGGGCTGTTTTCATACCGGTAGAAGGAAAGGATGCAAATTGAGGTAGGGGCTGGGGGTTTTGTGATGGGTATTTATTTGAAGTTGCTAACAGCTGTGAATTTGAGACCAACGAAGCAATTTCAGGATGGCACAGCGGTGGGGTGACTGTCCTTGAGCATCTGAGATCTGATCCCTCCCACTCTGGCTCGGATTCAAGGCAACAGCCATTGTTCCCTTGGATGCTTGTAAGTTCGTGTCTCTGTGTAAAACCTTTATTTGAAAAAGTAGAGGTGTACCTGGGGAATGAGGTACTTCTTATAAGGCTTAGATTTTAGCAGTAAAACCCGTCAGACACCTGTGGACGTGTCCTTTTTTTTTGTGCTCATGTGTGTCTGTGATGGTGTCCTTTTTCTTTCCGTTTTAGTCCTTTGGCCTAGAAACCAGCAGGGTTTCCCTGTTTGCTCTCTCATCCTCTGATTCTTGCCTGAGTGTGGAAGTCTCCACTCTGCTGGTAGACCTCCAGTGGTGCTGAGCTGGGTCACTTCGGCTGTGAATGGCCACCTGTGCTTCTGTCAGGGCTTGGGGACACTTGAATCTCTGTGAAGGTACTGGTACAGCAGCAGTAGAGAAGGTAGCAGCTGCAGTGAGAAGTGGACGGGTCTCCCAGGCGGCTCTGCTCTTGCCTGGGATGCATTCTCCTTCCGGGGCCCTTACGTCTCACAAGAGGGAAACAGCACCCTTGTAGCCGCTGAAGGCTGCGCGCCAGGAATTCATGCAGTACTCTCGAAACAGGGTATTATTGAAGCGTTTTTCTCAAGCAGAAACAGATGTAGTTCCCTGTTACTGTCGCCAGT